CCGGCAACAAGAACGAGATCAATGAGGTAAAAGTCAAACCATCATTTACGTGCCTGGTTTCGTCAGCTCCATGTCCCGGAACAAACTCAGAAAGTTTATAACGATTCGATTGTAGAAAAACATGTCTTATATTTCGAATCATGATATGAATTGGCTTTAACATCATCACATGATAAATCACAATATTATTAAAGACCTGGAATGATTCACTTGATATCAGATTTCCCACTCAAGATGAGATCCCAATGATACCTATATACCAAACAGTATTCATCCATTTTGACTCATTATCCAGATTCCAGATAACCTAGAGATAATATATTTCAATATCTGTAACCAGTTCGAACAGAACAATGTGTCCAATTTTTGGCACTGCAAAGTAATCTCTCCCTTAGAATGTCGCATAACAACGCTAAAGCTTGCTACCAGAAAACAGGCTTCTCACTTTCCACCGATCATATTTTGGTCTATTAAACCTAGAAATTGTTGATTGGGCAAAAAGTAGGTGCGTGACCATGTTAACCAATGATTTTATGTTGGCCATAATCGCAACTAATTGAAGTGATATCTGCTAAAAATTCCCAATCTACCTTTTCTTGCCATTATATATTATTTAGCTGAAGACTGCAGGCACACTCTCCAACAGTTCAGCTCTTATCTGACAGCTAATTGATGTTAGACAGGGTATTTAACAACTAAAAAGATTGATATATGCTGTTAGCATCCATCAAATCAACTGAAAATATGGGTGTGTCAATGAAGGAAATTTTCTTCAAGATTAATTGGGCCAAGTTGGACCAAAACCACATAAAAAAATGACTCTGATTACCATATAAAAAGATGCATCACAGAGCTTCAGAAAAATGAAATAGCAATGGAAGAACAATCACCTCCAAAACCCAATAGTACTCATATATCTCGTCAACATATTCAGCAACTTCCAGCTGATTGAAAGTATCATCTATACTTGGTAGCTTTTCCTGCTCAATAACTTCACCATGTTCCTTTAGTAACTGCAAAATAATGGCAATTGCTGAAAAAAAAAAATGCTCAAGGACAGTTAGACATTATAACAGTGAAGTAGTCCTAAACCTTTGATCCTGTCATTAATAAAGATGTATAAGATCTCCTTCGACTTGATTTTCTTATGGTGATGACCTCTGATTTGTGATCTGCACCTGACTCCTTGTTGCTGTCAGATGAAGGTTCTCCTTCAGTAACTCCATTGACAACCACGAAGGGCATGTTTTCCGGACAAGATGCCACAGGTTCTTTTTCCTTTGATGATACAGTAGCAATGGACTTGAATTTGTTCGAACTAGAGATGCACTTTGATCTTGAGGTCTTCTGGTTTATTTCAGTCTTTAGTGTTGGCTGGACCAATGAATTCAGAAAAGGAGTTAAACATAACTAAGAACAAAAGAACACACAAGATCAAGTTGTCAGATAGTGATCTCATTTGAGCTATAGGCGTTAAAGCAGGATCAGGATTTTTGCTAATCTGCTATCTTGAATTCTAATGGGCATTGAATTCCATTATTTATAGTTAAGCTATGTTGAAGATAGGCTGACCACAACTACTTTGGGATTATGGCTTTATTGTTGCTGTATGTTGAAGATACAGGTAGGAGTAGAAAAGCATGCCATTGCCCATGCATGGCTGTAAGTGAAGATTTTGGTTGTGGACCTGGTTTTTAGCTGCTTGATAGCCACATGAAACAAAAAAATTGGGATACATCTCCCAACCATGAAAACAGTTACTTAAGAAGTCGCACATTTTAATTTACATATAATTAGAAGATATGATTTTATATAATTTGGTCAGAAGGTCAAGCACAGGTTCTATCACACTGGCACAAGTTTCAATGCCAAAATGCCATTGATTTTATGCTGCAATAGTTCTATACTAAAACGCCATTCCATTTTGCCTCAACATTCACTTCTTGTCACTCATTTGTAATTAGGCATATGCAGCTTAAAGATGCCATCTACCAAGATTTCAATTTCAAGATGACATCTGTCATGATATTCAGTATGCGTATTCTGGTACTTTTAAATGATTTCAAACTTCCATACCATGTCAGCTTTGCCTCAATAATACAACATTTATAAAAATTCACATCACCTTTAAAAATTCAAAAGATAGAAATAAGCAACATAAAAGTTGTCTATGTAAGCAAAGACGATTGTATCAGAGAAGAATGAATCATAGATAATAAGAGGGAAAAAAAGGTAAATATAACACACAACTCATACCCTGACAGATTTTCTGGATACACGAGCATCAGCATTATTTTCCATAGGAGCCCTATTTACAGAAAGCAAAGATAATCATTTGCAGCCTGGTCAATCGTCAATTGATAAAATGCAAGGAATTTCTTATCCATGATTCAGATAAGTAATATACTCTCAGTTTAAGAACTAAGTATAAATTGTAGGTAATTTATGTGTTTGTCATTGTAACACTATGCTCTGGTTTGACATTTTAGACTCATCTATTTCATTGAAGAGCAAAGAAAAGTAAAGTCATTTTGTTTGTGAAAATAAATTTATGTAAACAAAGCAGCAATGTGTACATGATCATAAATTGAATTAGAGCAGACAGCAGTTCCTTTTTTTTCTTTTTGAGAGAAACAGATCATTGTCACTTACATTAATATGAAGCCATCACTCACTCTATTTCTCCATAAATGACTCCTACTCATGCCCACCTGAGGGACTACTTTCTTACTCACTTTAACCTTAACTGAAACCAAAAGAATTTAGATATAAATAGACATATAAATATCATGAAACTTATTAAATGGACTGCAGAGCCATGCATCTTACCAGGAAACCCACTAATATTCTTAGTTTTCTCGGAGCTTTCATCATTTTCCTAAAAAAGGCACTAGAAATCAGATGAAACCAGAATATAAATATGACATTAGCAATAAGATGCAATTCTTTTCTCGGAAAATTTCATGTAATGAGATTAACCTTGGCATTACTTGCATCTGCACGGCTCACCCTCTTTAGCACTGGTAGAGACTTCCTTCATGCCAAAAGTAGTAATGAAAATTAAATCATACATACATACATATATATATACATACACACACACACACATATATATTGTTACTTTAATGAGTAAATTTCATACAGATAGAATCACAAACCTCGTCGCTGCAACCGAATTCCTTGCATTCCTCCTATAAAAAATAAGAACATAAATTGGATTTAAGAAAATATTGAGTCACATAATACAATTGCAAAGTATCTGGCATTGATACTAACATATTTGTGCCCTTTCTGTTGTACCAATATTCCTGCCTAGAGAAAAAAATATAACAAACATGATTGAAATACCTGCTGTTATTAATGGCAAATTCACGGCCACGATTCTTGGTGTTGGTCTTCTTATCATCTAAAGAGGCCCGTAGATCTTTAGCGCCTACTATTGTCCAAGACCAGTAATCCAATGAGAATTCCAAATTAGAGAGATTATGAAAGTAAAGTTATGACAGAATACCTTTCCTAGAAGCATTGTCACCAGCCTTTTGACTTGTATCATCCTTCATTTTTCCCTAATTTGAAAGAAGAGAATTACATGAGGAAGAATTAAAGTGCATGATAAGACAGAATAGTGATATCCACTAGTGAAGTAAAAACTTTCATCTTTCAATTGGCACAATGTGGTCAAATTAGGTACAAAGGGTGGCGACAACTAGTAATATGAATTTAACATTATGACTACTCATGCCAAAGACAAATTGTATAATGGTGACCAGATGTTAGGAAACCTCATGCATCCAACATTAGCAAATAGTTCCTCATAAATCCTTCATTTTTAATAAAAATCTCAATTCCTCAGACAAATAAGTTTGAAGTAAAAAATTAGAGGGAGTCAAGTCCCAAAATTATTACCAAATTCAACTTGTAGAAATTCTCTCTCAATTATGAAGATCGAGAACAGCAGAAAGCAAACATAAATCTGAAGAAGAAATGCAGCATAGATTGTACTCAATTGAGTTTGGAGAATACTATGGCATACAACGAAAGAAAATTAAAATTATCCACCATATGGAAAAGTATTGGCCCAGTTTAGGATTTTCTTTCCAAGGAAAAAAGTAGTCTATGTTAGCTAATGACAAGGAGTCAAGGACAACCACTGCATTGAAAGTGAAGCCAAAAATAAGCTAATTTTCCACAATTCCAAGGACAAAAATTCAGAAACGCTGATTAACATAAAGCAGTGATGTCTGCCGAGCAACATGGATACTCAAAGCAAGCAACAAAGAGCCTGTCTGACAATGTGCAGTGCAAGTATGCAAATCCAGAATAATTGAACATACAGAAATGAATAAACAGGCAAGCCAATCCTCCTTAGAGGCAGGCCTTGTTTGGAGGATCTCCTAGTCTGTTGAGAGTTTATTTGTTCATCCATTTCTCGCAGAACCTAAGAAAACCGCTCCATAGTCTAATCCACATCCAATGGTCTTTGGAGAGTCGGTGAGACATGGTGTACGACCTTCCTCAGTCATTGGCAACCTTTCTCCAACTTTCATAGAACTTGTGCCTTATGATTTAAGCAATAATGTTAGCTTGGTGCTAAATTATTTCAATTAGCATTTGCATTTATGTTCTTTGATTTCTTAATCGAAAATCAATTATTTACTGCCTTGGAGCCATGGGCAGTTATTATGGTGGTCCAACTTTTAATAAGTGGGCAAGTGCTGCTCCAGGAGTACCAAATAATTCCTCTTCGATATTGCTTCAGTTGATATTCAAGATCTCTATCTCAAGCAGGTGTGCAGTTTAGAAAGAACAAAAAAACTGCATATCATAATCCTCATTTGTGAAGGTTCAGTCATAGTTGTGGCACTCCTACCTTCCAGATATTAAAAAATAGTATTTCGGTTTGGAGGAAGTAATTTTCTGTTAAACTACAGAGGCAGGCTAGGACACAAATTTTGGGTTTCAACCATCCACACCCCTCCCCCCATCCTCCCTGCCTCCCCTTTCTGCCAACAAACAAGCACTCAAAAGCGTGCTTCCCTTGTTATCTAACTAATTTGAAATGAAGGCGTCATAATTGGATACAGAATCTAGTGAAATTATGTACCAGCCATTCAACTGGATGCTAAATTTCTGGGCTGGTTTTGCAGAAAGAACCAGTTGGCAAAAACATTTTATAAGTTGCCTGATTAGAATGGAACAAAGAAAAGAAACAAGCATACAGAAAACAAAAACTTGACCTAAGATTTGGTTTTCATACCTTTGCAGATTTTCTTGATGGAAGATTCATGGTCCTATAGCCTGGACCCACTGAAATCCTAAAAAGTTGATGACATGCAGAGATTCATGTCAATCTTAACCAGAAACAAATGAGCAATCAATCCAAGGACAAGAAAATATGGAATATCCTTAACAGTGACACTCTATAGCTAATTTATAAGAAAATCTAACAAACACAGGATGCTTAGAAGAAAAAATTATATTCTGAAGAATCAAAATAAAGCCAAGAAAGATAGTTAAGGCTTCATAACCTAAATATACTTTGATTATTTACTCAATTGCATAAAGAAAATGTTCTTTTTAACTTTTTTCCTTAATTCATGAAAGACAAAACCAAAAAAGATAGAGAGCAAGAGAAGAGGATATATTCCCCCGAGCAATCATGGATATCTAAATGTTCAAATTGTCTTTCATAAATATTTTTTTCTGTAAAGAAACTCTTCTGAGGTTATGGTACTTTTCATAAATTTTGACCATAAAAAAACTTTTCTAAAGTTTTTAATTGTAGAAATCAAAAAAGGATTTGCATTTAAGACATGAACAGGAAATATATGCAGCCAGATAGAAAAATGTTCTTCATACATAAAAAACTAGGCATGCCAATTCAAAAATACAGAGACACTCACCTTGGTTTCGAACCATCATATGCCGCATTCCTCGCAAAACTACTCTGCACGTTGCTAACATCAGCCAATGCTTTTCTTCTGACATTTTCATTTACTGGAAAGGGCCACTATCAGAGTTTAACAATGACTCAAAGAAAAAAATCAACAAAAAAATAAATTATTATTAAATTTAGCCATACCAGTCGATCCAGAAGTGTCATGTTTGCCTTTGTTCTTCCCCACAACTTTCAAACTTCCCTTCATAATAAATGTTAAGGGAAACTAAAAAACCATACTTCCAATGGATATCCAAAAAACTTAGCATTCTCAAATAAACCACCATTAAAGCATGAACCATTAAGAAATGAAGGGGAAAATGGTTACCTTTGAATCACTTGTGATGGCAAGAGGATCTTCTTTGTTGGATATCCTTCTGTAGAAATTGTTTTTGAAATAAATGTTAAAAAACATCAAGAAAAAGTTAAAATAAAAATTTTCCCTTATCCTATGTTTTCAATTGAATTAGAAAATGACCTCAACCAAGCCACATAGCCATCAAGGTGAGATGATGTAATTTCTTTTCTACATCCAACAATATTAAAAGACAAAATTCTTTGAAATACATCAGTTACCTTAACCTTCACCTGTCATTTTTAGACTAGTTAAAGAAAACCTCCATCAAGCTGAGCCTTAATCTAAGTCTCTTAAGGCCAAACAACAAACTTACAAACCCATATTTCTACTCTTTTCTTCACCTCTAACTCACTAGCAGTTATGAAAATTGATTTAACAAGTCTATAGCATCACATACCTTGCAGGAAGAAGACTATCTCTGGCAGATTTACTGGAAAGAAAATTGAAAACATATCGCTTTCTTATCTAGAAGCATTAAGTAATAGAAAGAATTTCCATAGCAAACTGGAATTTGAACTATACTTACATGGTAGCAGCATCCTTAGTCTTTTCATTTTCTGAATAAACTTTAAAAGTTCTAACACCTAGAATTGATGTAAAAATAAAAAGAATTAGGTACACAAAACAATTCAAGAATCTGAATTATCAAGTCAAGTTGAACAAAAATCAGTGAAACACTTTACTACCTGTTCTGGAAGGATGGGCATTTGCAGCGACTCGATTCATCCCCACACTAACTTTTCCCTAAAAAACAGGAATAAAGAAACTTTGAATTCAACAAATATATATATAAAAGAAGCAGTTTTGTGGGTCTGTTTCATACTATAGGAGCCACCATTTTGCTTCTTCCTTTCTCGGTTTCTCTGACAGAAAGACCTTGCAATCGATGACAAATTTAATAGATTTTTCTTTTGCCTAAAATTACAGAGAAACCGAATTTCAACATTGACGAAATAATTATTCTTCTAAAAAAACCCTTATTAACGATGTGATTAAGAGGCATCGTAAAATAAACAATACTCCATGTTCCTCCTTTTTTTCCCACTAAACCCAAATTATTTAACTTCCACAAAAATTTCTCCGAACAACCCCGAATTATTCCATAAAAAGCATATGAAACCCTAATTCGTCTCTTTCTTCGAGGGAAAACTTGGAATTAAAATACACAAACAAACGGATAACAAGAAAGTCGAACAGAAGTTAAAAGAAAGATTAAAGATCAATAAAAGAAGTAGTTAATTAATAGATTATACCTTTAATGACGCTATTTTTGTCTTAGATTTCTGTGTTTTTTCTTAAGATTTTTAGAGAGAGAGAGAGAGAGAGTTTGGGGTTTCTTGGTTACCGTTGCAAATCTTGAGTCTCTGGCAGCCTTTATGGTTTCAAATTTTCGTGTGTTTTACTTTTATGCCCTCAGTCTCCACCTCTCCCCTTTTCAAACGTGTCGGCTTTTCTTTCTTGTTGGGCTACGCTTTCTACATTGTATTCGGGCCTCAGCCGTTTAATGTTTGGGTCTAGGCCTATAATGAATGGAAATGTCACAAGGTAACATTTGGTTAGGAAAAAGCTTGCAAATTTGGTATTTAATTGTTCTTTTTTCTTCTTTTTTCAGTACCCAATCGTAATTTTTTTATTTTAATATCCAAGTTTTGAATTTTTTTTTCTGTTTTGGTACTTATAGTTATCTAAGAGTATGAAATGCTAATCCATTTGAAATTAATTACCATGTGGCAGATCATTCCAAATACGTCAATATTTTATATTTTCATGTGATCGTGGACATTTTAATTTAAAAAAATTCAAAATTTTGGATTTGAAATGAAAAAAAAATTATCGATACCAAGTATCTCTTACCTTTATTCACTCTAATCTATCCTTTTTATTATTATTATAAATAGATTTCATCTATTTCTCGAGCCTTCATGATATATATATATATATATATATATATATATATATATATATATATATATTGTGTGTGTGGATTGAAATAAAAAATTTATCAATTGGACACCAAAATCGTAATTTTTTCAAGAAATTTATTATAGTTTTCTAACACCAAGCATCTCTCACCTTTATTCACTCTAATCTATCCTTTATTATTATTATTATTATAAATAGTTACATAAAACAAAATAGAAAAAAATTAAAACTTAGATATTGAAATAAAAGAAATTACCAGTTAGGCATTGAAATAGAAAAAAAAATCAAAAGTTGGATACTAAAAATATAGTTTTCTCATTTGGTTAGAAGAGAAGATGTTAGATGCATTAATTTTTCTACTTTAAAAAAAAAAAAAACACATTATTTTTTGATAGGAAAATATAGTTCCATTAATATTGAAAATATAGTGTTCTCATTTGGTTAGAAAAGAAGTTGTTGGGCACATGACTTTTTCTTCTTCTTCTTTTAAAGAAAATGTTATTTTTTAAAAAGATGATATAATTTTATTGATACCGAAAATAATACATAGTCATTGTAGTTTTCATAGACTCAAATAGAGATTACAAACGTCTTAAGTGATTTTAGTCAAGTGATCAAAAGAGATTTGCTTACTAAAGCGAGAAACTAATGATCTTTTGAGTAACATCTCATCATCTCCATTTTATGAACTTTCAAACGAGTTCTTTGAGTTTTATCCTATTATATCGTTTATAGTGAGATTTTTTTCATATATATCAAAATCAAAAATCTCGTACCACCATTTATCAATGGAGGAACACACACTGCATTATCAAGTCTCATTGATAGAAGTAACAAGCCTGCGATAAGATGTTGAAAACTCTTCCATTGACAGATTTGATAATTATATCCCTTGAAATCTATTTAAAATTGTAATTCTATGCTCTAATCCATCATATATCTTTGAACAAACCTTCGAGTGGACACAAACTAACAATAAAAAGCTCAAATGTTGAGGAAAACAATCCAAATAAAATCACATTTTTAGATCATATAGATCTACATCCGTAATTATTTAGAGTATTGAAAATATCAAATCTTAAAAATAGATCTTGGATTATTAAGAAAACAAAGAAAAATAAAGAAGAAGAAACTAAGAGAAAGATCAAGGAGCTATCATCGATGATTAAATGATTAACAATGATAGCTCAAAAAAAATGTTATTGTAAGCATTTATGCGGGAGAGACAAAGAAACCGACTAGGGTTGGGTGTCAAAAATTAAAAGAATATATTATTTTTAACAAGAATTAAGCCATTATATTTTTCATAAGATTTAAATAAAGATTACAAGAGTGCTAATTGATTATGATGAAGTGAAAAAAAATGCCCACTAAAGCATAAATTGTTGATATTTCAAATAGTATTTTGTCTTTTCCATTTCACAGACTTTCAAATGGGTTTTTTGAGTTTTTCATTTTCAAGTTGTTCATAGTGTGACTTTTTTTCAATATGTTTCAAACTCTAGAATTTTTTGCCACTATTTATCAATGGAGAATTGGATTACGCTACTATGTTGTATTGATAGAAGTAATAAGTATGCGATGAGATGTCAAAACCTCATATCATTGATAAATTTGACAATTATACCACTTGAAATCTTCTTCAGAATGTAAATCCATGCTTCAATTCATCATAAATTTTTTAACAAACTTTCAATCGAGACAAATCAACAACAAAAAAATTTCATATATTGAGTACAACAAATCAAATAAAAACATACAGATCTAAAAAATAATAATTTTTTGGACTATCCAAAACATCATATCTAATAATTAGATATGGAATTATTAAAATATAATAATAAAGAATAAAATAGATGGGAGAAAAAAGAGTGGACTATCACCGATTATTATTTCATCAAGAAAAAGAGAAAGTTGCTAAAAAGTGTATATATATATATACTTTTTTTTAATTATTCGTTATCACATATACATGTTAGGTATGTAACTGATTTGTGTTTATCCAGTGAATAAGATATATCAAATTTTTATTATCCGTCTCTGTTGGCGGTGGAGTACAACTAATTCAAGATAAAATAAAATGTAGAAAAAAATTGTTTTGCTCTTGTAATGAATTGGGTTAAATCCACTATTTTCATCTTGTGTTTTTATAAATTTGTTTAAAAAGCTTTTGTATTAATAATTAGATCAATTGAATAAATATTTTTTCAATTTCAGTCTATTAATTATAATTTTTCAAATTTAAGCCAGCAAATGCAGTCATTTTTTTTAAAGATAAATTACTTTAAATACTTTATAGTTTGAACACTGGAAACACTTTGCATTTTTACTTTTCATAAAATACATTTTACATCCTATATATTAAAATGTTGTTTAAAAAAATACTCTATATTTTGATTTCATTAAAAAACGTAAATTTTTGGCTAAAAAATACTTTTAAATTATTACAAGTTTGCTATTAAAATTTGATAATGATTAGAATGCCTTTTAAAAGCATTTTTATCTTAAAAAAAAAAAAAAAAAAAATTATACCCACGTTTTGAATGACTAGTGTCATAAAAAAAAACTCTAATCTCCAAATCTTCATCTTCCCACTACTTTGGTAAAGATGTCGCCTAATTCATTCTTCAACCATCCATCTCTTACTTTCTTTGGATAATGTCTATCACTTCAAAAAATCGAAGAACTATCTCTCCGACTGTAGACCAACAGGCACCCTTCTGTCCTTGACGATTTCACTTTGGTTGATGCCAACATGATGAGCATCGTTTGGTGGTTAGCTAAAATCAAAACCATTGAAAGAACTGGTTGAAAGGTACAGCAGCTTGAGAGTTACATAAACACCACTTCCAAGAACACACACAGAAGCCAGAACAAAGGATGCTATATTTCCTCCACTAATTAAATAGCACATCCCATAGACCGAC